GGACAGACGCGTTGACGGAGAGAAGCGTTGACGGGAGAGGCGTTGACGGAGACACGTTGACGGGAGACGGCGTTGACGGAGAAAGGGGTGACGGAGAACGGGGTGACGGAGACGGTGTAACGGACAACCGTTGACGCCGAATTATTGACGGGAGTAGCGTTGACGGAGAGAAGCGTTGACGGAGAACGGGGTGTATGTATATTTTTGCTTGTTGTTGTTGTTATTGAGCGGTGTGCAGTAGTAGTAGTGGTAGTCGTGTACTTTTTTTTTTAAAAAGGGGAATAATAACGTGTTCAATATGGTCGGGCTTTTTGCGGACGACATACTGCATTTCCTATGGTCATGGGAGGATTATCTAAAGCACATGAACATCACGGATGCGCAGACATATTGGGTAAGTCTTATTATCGAGGAAATTCAGAGAGTGGCCGAAATAACACATTTACGGGGACCTATGTATGTATTCGGCATAGGGACCACTATGTGTGTGTGAATTTTTTATATAAGCAATATGGACATGAGGCGACCGCGGTATTTAAACGAGACGGGAGACATACATACTGTGTGCACAAACCAACATGACAGTGTGCGTACCTGCAGTAAAATATAGAACTAAGGCGCCGTACACAGTATGCATACATGTATGAATTATTGCACTCACAGCAAAAATTAATGCAAGCGGTTGATGACATATTCCAAGAGTTACTCAGCAAAATTGGCGAGCCCAACGGCACAATCTCTGGCTTCTGTGGGGAAATATATGATTCGAATGCGACATGCATAAAAAGGTGTCGGGAAATTGTAAATTTAATGCTATACATGAGAGGGTATGAACATAAAGGGACACAGGGATTGCAGCGACGGACAGTAGACCAGGCAGATTGGACGGCCTTTCAGGAATATTTAAGATGTGTGCTAGCAGGAGAGGCTTTAGTACGACTCTATGGCAGGAATAGTGATCATGTGGACGTAATGAATAAGGTTAAACAGGAGTTAGCACACGGGAAAACATTTGTGAAGCAGAAGCTAGAAAGTGGAATATGTGAAAACAGAGATTGGGGGAAGGTGATATTCCAGTCACATCGTATGGGAACGGCTTTACAGAATCGATTAAACAGCTTGCGTAAAACGTGGACAACAGCAAAAGTACCGGCTCGGCGCGCATCAGGGACATGTGGATGGGATGATGCACAAGACGCTGATGAAGACGGGAAACCGCACAGTGACGACACATGTAATGCAAACGAAGGGGTGGTGACGCAGGAGAATGAGCTCATGAAGGAAATAAAGGGCTGGGTACCAATTGGTCCCTTTCCACACGTGCAGAAGGTGCTAGAGGACATGCAAAAAAATGGGGTGTCTAAGGAGAAATGTGAACTTGAGCAGAAGATAAGGAACGGGGTCAAGACAGTGAAGGACAGAGTGAATCCACCGAAGAAATCACAGCCACCGGAGAAACCGGCCGGTGCTAACGGCAATCCGCGCGGCCCTGTCCAAACAGTAGGGGCGACACCGGTATCACCACCGGGAAGTGGGACGCCGACGTCGCCATCTGGTGGTGGTGGTGGTAAGGGTGGTGCTACCGGAGGAGGGCAGGGGCAGGGCAAGGCTGGACTAGGACAGCATTGTGATGGCGACTTCGCACGGCAGCGCCTGCGTAGCGCAGTGTATGTGGTGCCCCCACGTGATGTAAGTTAGATTACACTGAGAGAGCAGAGATGCACAGGAAACAGTAACAACAAACAGAACAGGAAGTTGTTCATACGGGCACGTGCACATATATGTGAGGATGTCTATGTATTTATGTGCAACCATATAGATCACACGTGCCCATGGGCACTTTTTTAATGTCCATGTGCAACATGTAGGATAACGCATGGAACAAGTGGAAGCAAGTGTTGCAGGAATTTACGGCACATATGGAGGCATACAACGACCTCAATGAATCATTTGGTGCCAATTGTTATAATGTAGGTTGGGATGATTTCGGTCATGGTCACCTACATACGGCACAAACAGTGGCAGATGTCGTACGGTGCAGAGTTATGAGTGTTGCATGGGCCTTTGCAAATGGGTGGAGTACGAGTGCAAACGCGACGGAGCCAGGGGTCAAAATGGACACGGAAGAAGAGAATATGTTACGGTGCGAAGTAGCAAATATTTTTGGACATTTACTGAAAAATAAGTATTGCACCCGGCAAGCAGGATACAAGAGAGGTGTAGAGTATTCCCGCATAGCATTCACGAAAATGAAGAGCGAGGGAAAAAATGGACAAGGAGCGGTAGGGGGTCCTGTTATCGACGGCACGTGTACAGCTTGTGGGTACAAGGGCTATGAGAGGTGGGCACACGCCATAAATTTGCCTGTAGTCGAGTGGCTCATGCAGGAAGGACAAATAACGGCAGAAATAACAGCAATGGAAAGGGCAATGCCGTGTAACACACAATGGGCAGATTATACAAAAAACAAGATGAAGGACGATGACCCGGACAAGGTGGACGAAAAGAAAATCACTGAAGTAAAGCAAAAGGAACAGCAGGTAGTGAAGGCAGCAACAAAGGTAATTGAGAAGGCCAAGGAAGCAGTAGAAGAGGAAATTAAAAGAAAGGAAGAGGAAGAAAAGAAACGTAAGATTACGAAACACCGGAATAGTAAGCACGCGGTGCATGGGAATACCGAAAGTACCAATGGTACCAATACGAATACACCCAGCACACAAACACGGCTCGATACGACTGCGCATACGGATGCCGCCGCAAACGAAACGATGCCACAACAACACGCACACGCGGGAACTATGCACGGCGGAACAGCAAACGACGTCGTTGACGTTGAGCGGTGGCGGAGCGGACGCATATGAGTAGCGACCAGTGAGGAGCGTACCGTTCGCACAATGCAGTGTAGGCGAGCGTACCGTGCAGCGGCGATGAGCGGTGTCCACGACGGCCGTGGTAGCGGTAGCGGAGCGGACGGAGATGAGTGGCCACGGTAGCGGCGACGGGCGGTGCAGACGGGCGTACCGTGTAGAGTTGTCGCGACGATGAGTGTAGACGAGATGTGTGCGGCGGCGAGATGACGGCGACAACATAAGTGTACTGCTACCATCTACCCCCAGTTCACCGAGTACGCAGTCCACCTCACCGTACGCTTGCTACCGCCTCACCCAGTTCACCGAGTGCGCATTCCACCGAGTCGTACCTCGATCCATGCAGCCGACCTTACCCTGCCGCTACCTGCGCGCACCTTCTCGGCCCTTCTTTGTGTACTACTTGTGTCCTTTGTTTATATCATCTTTTCGTCCATCTTTCTTCCGTCCTTCTACCTCATTGCAGCGAATGCGACGAGCAAGGACCAGGCGGGCGGATCATCCGCAGATACTAAGACACAGAACCCTGCGGGAGCCGCAGGATCACAGGGGACCGGACAGGCAACATCACAAGCACCATCACAGACTCCCGGATCACAACCAGCAGGAGCACCAGTAGGAAGGACAGATACAACAGCCAGCGGATCAACGACACAAACACCAGGTCAGGTATCAGGGGGACCCGTACCACAATCCCCACCAGAGGCACCTCCAGCAGCCCCCGAGAACACTTCCCAGGACGACCAGAAGGACAACGAAGGCGCAAAAGGAGGAGCAGGACAAAGTCCAGGTAAGGAGGCCGATGATGCTCCCGTTAATGTTAAACTTGCGGGTAGTTCCGGGAACAACAGTGTAACCGTGATAGATTCCTATGACAGTGGACAGCCCTCTGATGAAATTATTCAGCAATATGAACAGCCCGGGCACATACCTTCGGGCGGGCCAGACCAAAAAGGTGAATCTAAAAGAGTGCATAAAAGTACAGCATAGTGTGCATTAATACCCTCGACTACTCTAGTATGCACAGAACTGTAAGAGGGTATACTTAAACACACGCATACTGCCCACAGGACAATTGGCATGAAAAAAAGAGACAAAGACACAACTTTTCCGGAGAGAGAGCGGGAGAGGCACCACGGAGAGAGGAAGAGAGAAACCAAACGTCGAATGAGAGTGAAACCAAACGTCGAATGAGAGTGAAACCGGCAGAACGACAGAGCGATGGGTCGGCCGCTGGATGTAGACGTAGACAGGTAGCCACGTAGACGTCAACAGACACACACACACTGTGTCTGTGTGTGTTGTGTTGTGTGTTATGTTGTGTGTGGGACAGCGAGAGTCTTTTCCCTGGGGTGGCACCAGCCAACCACCGTTCGCACCGTGGCACCATGCATCCATGGTGCCGACCATCAGCGATCATCCCACAACCACCTGCAAAACTTCAGTTTCATCATACTTCTTCCTACCCTTTCCCTGTCTCCCCATTCACCAAATGTTCAGGCGATGCCGTCGTAGACGGGGGCAACGATGACCCCCCTCCTCTCAATCCACCCAAACCAAAAGCGAACCCGAACCCCGATCAGGCCGGGTCCAGTGGCACTTTTGCGGATGGCCAGGTACCAAGTAGTTCCGGAGAAGGTACTAGAGGTGCTGTTCCAGGACTCGGTGTTCCGGGTGCATCTATTCCAGGAGTAGGTGACCCAAGTGCATCCTTACCCCCAGCGCGTGAGGAAAATACGAAATCAGGAGAACCTGTAACAACGGTTACATCACAGGACCAAGGACAGAGTCCCACTGGTCTGCCGGTTTCACCTGGTGCACCGGATTCTTCACCCGGTTTATCGACTTCAACTCCAAGTCCATCCAATGATGTACAGGATCCAGGGGGCCGTGGCCCCAATACATCCCTTGACAAAAATCAGAAAGCCAACGACGAAACTAAACCTGTCCTCCCTCTTCCCTCGAAACCATTCAACCCCAAGGATCTCATCCCCTACACCCCCGCGATCATTCCCGCGCTGGTTGGTATCGGGATCATTGCGTTCTTCCTATGGAAGGTACGTATATACGACAATCACGGAATGCCGCATGTGCCGGATGTTTATACCTCAGAAACTCCCTACGCGCACCAATATATGATCGTTCTAACACAAATGTACTCCTACACCCGGGTTCATTCCTTTTATCCTACCGTCCTCACCTTCCTGTTTACCCCCTTTTTCTGCTTAGTACTTTGCGTACCTCGGAAAACAACGACGACGAATATATCGAACCGTTCGGGACGTGCCGTCACCGCCACTCGACGAAGAAATATTGCAACATCTACAACGCGGCGAGCCACCACCCGATTACGGGTACACCATGGTTACGCAACCTGCGTCAACATCCGGTAGAGGCCGCCCACCACGCGTGCATAAGCGCACGCTTATCGAGCTACATCTAGAAGTGCTCAACGAATGTGACGCGACCGAATGGGATACGGTGAAAGACGACTATTGCCAGATACTTGTGCAAGAGTTTATGGGGGGCAACAGCACGTGTACAAGTAGTTCGGATGTCTGTACCCCCGACGACGGTTTCGCAACCCAGGACTCAACAACAAACGCCGATACACCAACGCGGGATACACCCACCTATTCCGACGAAACGGATCCATGTCCACCTAACGCAGATGACCCCGATCCATGGACTTGCATGGAAACTGCACCGTTAGAAACGGACCGTTCTCCACCTAACGAAGAGGACCCCGATCCATGGAGTCGTATGGAAACTATACAGTTACCCACGGACCCTTGTCCACCGAATGAAGCGGACCCCGATCCATGGAGTATTATGGAACACATACAGTTCGCAGCGGACCCTTGTCCACCGAATGAGGACGACCCCGATCCATGGAGTTGTATGGAAACTATACAGTTAGCCACGGACCCTTGTGCACCGCATGCACACGACCCCGATCCATGGAGTTGTATGGAAACCATACAGTTAGATACACAACGCGACCCGTACTCCTCCCCGCGCACTGAATGCGCGACGTCGGAGTGCACCCACTGGATTACCTGGATTGACCGCAACAAGCATCTATTGCGCGCGTGCACGATGCAGCCGTGGTGTCTGCAATTGAAATCGGCATGGAAACAATACCTGCGTGAGCGCATGGCGGCAACCGGAGCATCCGGTGACCACAGGAAAGCCGCAACCATGGAAAGCACGAAACTGCGGTTGTGGAAAGAATGGGTAGCGCAACAACATCGGCAAATGCGTATGTATAAGGAGCAGTGGTGTAAACATTTGTTGCATAATGTAGAGGAGGAGACAGTACCGGAAAAAGGCGAAGAACATATACTGGAAAAAGACTTAGAAGTGGAAACAGTAATGGCCGCAGAAGATATGCTAACAGTCACGGCTGTTCCACGCCCGCAACTGCATCCGCAACCTTACATGAAAAAACGGTTAATTGCCAAATTGTGGATGCTACTCCTCGCGTCCGTAATCGAAGAGTGCGAATTCGAGAGTAGTATGCAGGAGAAGGAGTTATATTTGGATGATCTATTGCAGCAGTGTTCACATTAGGATGACGTTGCATATGCATGCGAAATAACGCATGCTAACGGTAGACCACTTTTACTTCATTATGTGATATACTTAATATATTTCTGGTTTACATTATTCTATACCGTCTTTTTTTTTTTTGCTGCTCTCTTCTGCTTACTTCTGTTTCTTTCTGTTTACTTGTGCCTTGTTTTGTTCTTTTTCTGAGTAGTCCACTTCTTTTAACATGACCATGGGGACAGGGTGGTACCGGTTAAATGCATATACAACGTAGATTTACATGAATAATATGAAGGCGTAGTATTCTCCTTTATGGGAAATTATTTATTAAAAGCTGAGCAAGTGCATTCTACGGGTATGGTGTACAACTCATATAGAATGCGAATACGCATTCGAGTATAAGGCGAGATTGTCTCTCCGAGCAAACGCGGCCGGGTAAACCGCATCGTAGCCGAGTGTAACCACGATTCGCCGAAGTAGCCGAGTGTAACAAGCAGGAGAGATTGTCTCTCCGAGCACACGCGTCGACCAAAGCGGCCGCGTGCACGACGGAGCAGCATTGTCTCCGAGCAAACGCGGCCGATTGTAACAACGATTCGACGACGGATTGTCCGAGTGTAAGAACGGAGGGAGACATTGTCTCTCGGAGCACACGCGTCGACCACAGGGGCCGCGTGCACCACGGCGGCGGCTTGTCTCTCCGCGCAAACACGCCCGCGTAAGCGGTATTCGAGCAAGTGGCCGGGTGTAAGAAGGAGGCGATTGTCTCTCCGAGCACGCGTGGCCTGGTAAGCAGCATTCGACCACGTAGCCGAGCAAACGTGGCCGAGTAAGGGGTATTCGACGACGTGGCCGAGTGAAGCGGTTCGATTACGGCGTTCGAGTAAACGATTCAACCAAGTAGCCCCGGGACGGACGGCAACAACGACGGCAGGACGCATTGATGTTGTTGTTGTTATACTGCGGTTTTTTATTGTACGCACACAGAGACAGTGTGTGAAGGCGTTTAGTGGACAACGGTGTAGAAAGGGCGGGACAGGGGTATTATTCATGAATCGTTGTGTGTGTACGGTAGTGCAGTAGTAGTACTTTTTTCCTATTTTTTGTTTTCTTTTTTTGGTGATTTTTCTACTCTACTTGGGGAGATTGTTCATGTGTGGACGAGAGAAAGAGCGTCTTCTCTATATTGTGCAGAGTATGTTGTTATGAATTTGTAGGACTATGTTGTTTGTTTGCTCTCCTTTTTTTGTTTGTCTTTTCTTTTTTTTTCTTTTTTTTATTTGTTTTATTTATTTGTTATTTATCTTCTTCCTTTACCGCTTATTCATTATTTTCCCTTGTGATGCTCCCAATTCTTAGTGTAACTATAAGGATTGTATATGTGTGCATAGGTTATATAAACGGATACATACCCCTTCTTTTCATGTGCATGGTGCAGTTATATTTAGGCGGATGTTAATGCGTAAGGGATACGGAGGAATTTATAGCGTGCACAACAAGTTCTGAGCGATGCACTGTTGCCACCTACGGACCACGCTATAGTGATTCCAGGGTAATTCAGATTTCCACGTTATAATCTTAGGGGAAAATGGCGGACCGGTTAGGGGCTTTATTAGCAGCATATGTGCGGCAACGGGCACTAGTGGGGCAACAGCATCTGTATAAGGTAATTTATTAAGATTAAGACCGCGCAGCGCAGTGTAATTATAACCGCCTATATATATGATTGTATGTATACTTGCCTGTATATATAATTGTACGAATGCGACGGTGCACTAATTCTATATTACTTACACAATGGGAAGATACAGTACGTGCAGCACGTGCAACAGTGTGGGCACATATGAATATGGACGAGACAGCTAATGTGGCCACTTATGCACACAAATATATATTCCTTATGAATAATACAGGAATTACTAGGGGATGATATAAAAGCGGAACTGGAACAATTTGAGAAATATATGGAAGATGAGGCCATAGACAGCTATGCAGCTAATTGTTCAAACACGGGTTACACGCGTGAGGGTGGGGGAAAAGACTTCTTCAAACATAACGCGGGCGACAAACTTATGTGCAAACTCATGACAGGAGCATTATATTTTATGAATGAGAACAGTTGGCGGAAGTGGCGCGCGAATATGGTGGTCAGTAATGATGATGAACTGAAGGAATATGTGCGGTGTGCCATAGTAAATATATTTATGTACATATTGCTGCAATCTCCATGCAGAAGTGAAATGGGTGTATATTATGCATGGGACACTGTGACACAGATGGAGGGGCTTATGGGTGGATTAATTACAGAGGGCAAGTGCAAGCGGGGAGTGTTTCTAAACATAAAAACACAGGAATTCGACATGGAGCAAATGATTAAGAACTGGTTACAGAACAACAACACGTTGACTGAAAAATTTAAAGGTCCAGAAGTACAACGCATATGTACGAAAAGCTTAGAAGCACTTGGGGGGGCACCGCAGGATGCAGATGAAACGGATGACAAAATAGAACTGCAGACACAGGAGAAGCACGTTATAGAGAAATTACGGCCCGAGACCACGGTATTGGTTCGGAAGGTGCCGCCGCAGCTCATGCAACCGGCGCCGGAAAATGGAGTATCCACGCACACTAGCGAAGACGACCAAGGTAGCGATCCGCGGGATGCCGACAGTAAGGCAACAGTATCGAACTCTGTCGCCGGCGGCACACCACCACGCGCCGGCGGGCAGCACAACAACACGCACACACGGGGGGAACAGCAAACGACGTCGCAGCTCCGTCGCTGTCCCACTTCGGTTGAGCGTTGACTATGACGGACGCGGTAGGGGCGACGAGGCACCGGACGACGCATGGAGCGGGACGGCGGACGAGATGACGGCAACAAATACAAGTTGTACTGCTACCATCTAGCCCAAGTTCACCGAGTGCGCCCCCCTTTCTTCCTGTCTTTGTCCTCTTCTAACAACGTGCGCGCTCTCTAACACCGTCCCGCCCCTACCCTGCCGCCTCACCCAGTAAACCGATTGCACCTCGACCCACTGCATCGATCCATGCAGCCGACCACAGCCCCACCCTGCCGCTAGCTGATCGAACCGTCCCGGCCCCTTCTTTCTGTACCACTTGTGTTCTGTTTTTTGTTTATCATCTTTCTACCATCTTTCTGCCGTTCTCCTTTTTGCAGTGCCAGCACCTAAACCTGCGGCGACGAAGCCGGACACATCAGATACTGCAGTAGGGAGGTCACAAACACCGGCATCCCCCGTATTACCAGCCAGACCACCACCACCTCCACCATCTCCCTCAGGGAAATCAGGCGATGAAGACGCAGGAACAAAGGGAGAAAAAGGTGACCAGGGTGTTGCAGGACAACCAGGACCAACGGCACCTTGTGTTACAAATGTACATACGGAAACCACACATAGCACGTACGACGGCACGCACAGAGTGGGTCTGAGTATTTCCTTCACTAACACGGATCCGACGTCTGGTTGCTCAGGACCTGGTACCCCAGGTAGTCACACCTATTAGAACACAAAAAGAGAGAAAACAAAAAAAAAAAAAAAAAAAAAGAAACAACTTTTCCGGAGACACCACACGGAGTCAGGGCGAGACCACACGGAGCGAGAGCCAGAGAGAGAAACAAAATGTCGAATGAGAATGAGGAGCGGCAGAGCGACAGCGATGGGCCGGCCGTGGGATGTAGACGTCGACGTAGACGTAGACACATGTCGACACAGACAAACACACACTGTCTGTGTTGTGTGTTGTTTGTGTTGTGGGACAGAGAGAGTCTTTTCCCGGGGTGGCACCAGCGACCCACCGTTCGCAACATGGCCAACCACAATCGACGGATCATGTGGACAACCAACCATGTGCCACCACCGCTGCATAAGTTCAGTTTCATCACATCCCCTACTTCTTCATTTGACATTATAGGTAAGGATGGTGCCACTGGTCCGGGCTCGTCAGGATACCCATCTGCACCCGCAGCGGCAGCACCGAAAGCAGAAGCAGAACAAGAACCAGCAACCACATCCTCATCCAGTGAGGCAGCAGGCTGCCCACCGCCTGCTCCTTCCCCTGCTGAAAACACTGAGAACGACGCAGTTCAGACGACTCCATCGTCTCCTTCTTCTACGAACGCCAACGGCGACACCGGTCCTTCCGGTTCCGCAGGTGAAAAAGGCGGAAGCGGTGAAGCCGGTAACACCGTGCCCGCCGTGGTTGACGGCGGCAACGATGACCCCCCTCCTCTCAATCCACCCAAACCAAAACCGAACCCGAACCCAAATCAATCGGGGAGCAGCAGCCCCAGCGGCAGCGGCGCACCGGCCGCAGGAGGTGCTGGAGGTGGTGTGTCTGGTGAGGCAGGAAAAGGCGGTGCTGGAGCTGTTGGTGGTACGGGTGGTAGTAGTGGTGGTGGAGGCGGGGGGGGAAGTGGAAGCAACTTATCCTCTGGTTCAGAAACCTCAACTCCAGCTCAAGGACCAGAACTATCAACCACAACAACAGTAACGCAGACACCATCATCAGAAACCTTATCACCAACATCACCACAATCACCAGTGCAGCCATCACCCCCCAAGGCGGGGGAAGATGCTGTAGCTCACTTTGTTCCCCCTCCATCGACACCATTCGACCCCAAGAATCTCATCCCCTATACCCCCGCGATCATTCCCGCGGTGGTTGGCATCGGGATCATTGCGTTCTTCCTATGGAAGGTCAGTATACACGGCAATCAGGGAATGACGCATGTGAAGGATGTTTATACCTCAGAAACTCCCGACGGGCTGCAATATATGATCGTTCTAACACAAATGTACTCCTACACCCGCGTTCATTCCTTTTATCCTACCGTGCCCACCCTCCTCTTTACCCCCCTTTTTCTGCTTAGTACTTTGCGTACCTCGGAAAAAAACGTCGACGAACATATCGCACCGTGCGTGACGTGCCATCACCGCCACTCGACGAAGAAATTCTAGACCATTTACAACGCGACGCTCCACCACCACCCGCTTACGGGTACACGATGGTTACGCAACCTGCGTCAACATGCGGTAGAGGACGCCCACCACGCGTAAATCGCCGCACGATCATCGAACTACACTTAGAAGTGCTCAACGAACGTGAATCAGCCGAATGGGACAACGTCAAAGACGACTATTTGCAGATTGTCGTGCAGGAGTTTGCACAGGATTTGATGCGGGACGAGGAAACGAATAACAATATCTTGGGTGTTTCTATCACAAAGCAGGCTTTATCAGGGCACAATGTTGCATCCACCGAGTCCGACGGCACAAATCCCTTACCACCGCCTGCAGACGACCCATGGCGTTGTATGGAAACCATACCGTTCGTCACGGACACTTCTCCACCTAATGCTGATGACCGATGGAATTGTATGGAAACCATACAGTTAGAAACGGACCCTTGTGCATCTAACGCCGATGACCCCGATCCATGGAGTTGTATGGAAACCATACAGTTAGCAACGGACCCTTGTCGACCTTATGACCCCGATGCATGGAGTTGTATGGAAACCATACAGTTAGACACGGACCGTGCTCCGCCTAACGAAGATAACCCAGATCCGTGGAGTTGTATGCAAAACATACAGTTCGCAACGGACCATTGCCCACCTAACGCAGATAACCCATGCAGTTGTATGGAACCCATACAGTTCGCAAAGGACACTGCGCCACCTACCGAAGACGCCCCGGATCCGTGGCGTTGTATGCAAACCATACAGTTAGCCACGGACACTTCTCCACCGAATGAACACGACCCCGATCCATGGAGTTGTATGGAACCTACACCGTTAGAAAGGGACCGTTGTCAACCTAATGAACACGACCCCGATCCATGGAGTTGTATGGAAACTGCACCGTTAGAACCAGAAGAGCCTCCTTCTCCCCTTGCATACTCTTGCGACCCCAGCAATGAATACCCGACCCCCGACCACATTAATTGGATTAACTGGATTGACCGCAACAGGCACCTTTTGCGGGAGTGCACGACGCAGCCATGGTTTAATGCCCTCAAATCGGAATGGAAACAATATTATCAACAATATGCGCCAAACGAAGCATCTGGTGTGAACAGGACAGCCGCAACCATGGAAAGCAGGAAATTTGATGCATGGAAAGAATGGGTTGCAAAGCAACATGCGCTTATGAATACATATAGTGAGGAGCCCTGGTTCCAACACCTATGGAGTAATATCGCGCAGACAGGAGTAGTAACAGAGGAAGACGGCATGCCGGAACAGATACGAACGGTGCAAGGAGTGAGTCACATACACACAGTAGATGAAAAACCGACCACATTTGTAACAGACCAGGGGCCACCTGTAGAAAAAGGCTTAAAAGTAGAAGAAGCACTGGAAGGCGGATCAGCTTTGAAAGTGCGACATTTACCACAACAGCAACTGCATCCGCAACCTTACATGAAACAACCGTTAACCGCGCAAACATGGATACTGATCCTGGCATTAGTCATAGAACAGTGCGAGCTCGAGAGTAGCATGCAAGAGAAGGAGTTATATGTGGATGATCTATTGCAGCAGCTGTGCAATTAGGATCACGGCGCATATGAATGCGAAATAACGCATGCTAATCGTACACCACTTTTACTTCATTATGTGATATACATAATATATTTCTTGTTTGCATTATTCCATACGTTCTTTTTTTGTTCTGCTCTGTTCTGCTTACTTCTGCTTACTTTTGCCTTGTTCTGTGCTTGTTGCGTAGTCAACTTCTGTTAACATGACTATACAGATACGGTTGTAGAGGTTAAATGCATATAAAATGTAGATTTAAATGAATAATATGAAGGGGCAGTATTCTGCTGTATGTGAAGTTAATTATTAACAGCTGAGCAAGTGCATTCTAAGGGCATAGTGCAGCACCAATATAGCATGCGCATACGCATTCGAGTATAAGGGGAGATTGTCTCTCCGAGCAACGCGTCGACGACGTGGCTGAGTGCAAGAAGCAGGATTGTCCGAGTGTAAGAAGGAGGAGGACTGTCTCTCCGAGCACACGCGTCGACCAAAGCGGCCGCGTAAAGCACATTGTCGACGACGTAGCCCAGTGCATGAACGCAGGAGGATTGTCTCTCCGAGCAAACGCGTCGACCAAAGCGGCCAAGTGCAAGACCGATTCGACGAAGTGGCCGAGTGTAACAACGAGAGATTTTCCGAGGCCGCATCCACAAACGGCGGGAACCACCGAGTACACATATTTTGTGGGAAGGCGCACCACCGAAGGAAGGCGGCAACGACGGCAGCAACGACGGCAGAAGAACTTGATGTTGTTGTTGTTCGTTTTAGGTGTACGAAGACACAGTGTGTGTGACAGGCGTTTAGTGGAGACCGGTGTAGACAGGGGGGAGGGGGTGCTTTTCATGAGGGTGTGTTGTGTTTTTTCTATATTTTACTATGCTTTCTTTTTTTTTTTCCTTTTTTCTTATTCCTTGAGTAGGACACATTGTTCATGTGTGCAAAAGATAGAGACAGTCTTCTCTGTGTTGTGTGCAGGATGCTGTTGTGCATGTGCATACTATGTTGTTTTTCGTTCACTTGTTTTTTCTTGTTACCCTTTTTTCATTTCTTTTTTTCCTACTTCCAAACCCCACGCTTTGTAGGACGTGTGATTAAATTCAGATAGGGGATAGTTTGTTCATGTGAGATGTTTCACAAACGAACGTATACTAGAAGACATGTTTCATTCGCTACAAATCTGAATACTACGTAACAGCATATTGTGCCTACATTATATTCAAGGCGTGGTTTGAAAGCTAATGATATCATTCGTTTCATTATATTGGTTTATGGTTATGACAATATGACGTATGCGAAGTTGGGACATTTATTAGCACACTATCTGATAAAAAGGGGTCTAGTGGGCAAACAGGAACTGTATAAGGTAATTTAATCACAATAACACGGGCGGAGTTGTGTACTTATAAGAGCCTGTATACAAGATAGTATGTACACATGCCGCTATATATCATTGTACGAATGCGACCGTGCACTAATTCCCTATTAATAATACCATGGGAACGTAAAGTACGTGCAGCACGTACAAATGTGTGGGTGCATATGAATATGCAAGAGACAGATAATGTGCCAAATTATGCACACACATATATGTTCCTTATGCGCCATACAGGAATTCATATGGACAGATATAAGAGGCCTACTCGAAGAATTTGTGGAAAATATGCAGAACGAGGACCTAGACACCCTTGCAGCTAATTGTTTAAACCACGGTTACACATATCCGCCTTGGGGACCACGACCGATCGTAGCTAAAATGGGAGACAGAATTATGTGCAGACTCATGTCACGAGCATTATTTTTCATGAATGAATGGCCTACGCCGTCCGCCAGGACGGACCATACAGACCCTCAGAATGAAGAGTTGAAGGAACATATAAGGTGCGCCATAGTAAATGTATTTATGAACATATTGAACGAATCTACATGCAGAAGTAGAATGGGCATACATTATGCCTGGGAGGTTGTGAAAGAGCTGCACAAAGGTTTGCCAGCACTCATTATAAACAGCAAGTGCCAGCAGGGAGAGTTTGAAAACATACAAATAGGAGAATTTGACATGGCAGAGAAGATTAAGGAATGGTTAAAGAAAAACCCGAGCTTGACTGACAAAATTGGAGGCATGGGTATAGACAGCACATGTAGGAAAAGCGTAGCACAACTTGACGGGGCCAGGCAGGACGCAAATGACATGGATGCCAAAATACAACTGCAGCAAGAGGAAAAAGAAGCTGTACGTGAGTTAGGCCAAGCAGTGAAAACCATAGTTGAGGAGGTAAAGACAGAGGTAGAGCGCTGCGCGCAGGAAACTGCAGCATGCATTGAGTCTATCGACGCTGTCACCCGTAGCAATCCGCAGGAAGATGACAGTGAGGCCATAGTATCGAACTCTGTCGCCGGCGGCACAACAGCAACGGAACCGACAGGTAACATCGATGGGAGAAAGCACGAATACGACCCGCTACGTACCGTATTGCTCAATATGGATGCCGCCACCACAACAACAACGCAACGGCCACAAGCACGCACGCAGGGCAACAATATCGCAGACGCGGGAACAGCACAGCAAACGACTTCGATGCCCCACTTTGCTTGAGCGATGGGCCGAGAATTGCCGAGCGGAGGTGTGTGCGGCGGCCAGGACGGCATCGATAGCGGCGACGGCGCGATGACGGCAACAACATAAGTGTACGACTACCATCCCATCTAGCCAAGTCGACCTGACCGTACGCGCGCTGCCGCCTCACCCAGTGCACCGAGTGCACCTCGATCCATGGAGCCGACCCACTGCATCGACCCACTCTATCGAGCCGGACCCGCACCCTGCCGCTAGCTGACCGCACCGTCCCGGCCTCTTCTTTCTGTACCACTTGTGTCCCTTTTTTTTGTTTATCATCTTTCTACCATGTGTCGTTGTCCCCCTTGCAGAGAAAGACACGCAGGACACGGACACGAACAAACCAGGCACGCGACAGGAACTTGCAGGAACAGGCGCAGCCAAGTCAGGGACAACGAAACCACAAGCACCGGCATCTCCAGTATTACCACAGGCACCATCAGGATCAGGCAGGAACGATAGCACAGCAGGCCCTGACGGGCAACCACAAGCACCGGCATCTCCAGTATTACCAGCAAGACCACCATCACCTCCTCAACCAAAGACCGAAAATGATCAGGCATCACCGGGACAGGGAGCACCAGGAGACGACGTACCACAACCCCCACCTGCGGCACCACCGAGGCAACAACACCCAGCAGCAGGGGAAAAGAAGAAGGAACCAGTAGAGGATACAGATGTGAAAGGTAAGGACACTAATACCATGGAGGACCAGTGGGATTTCCTAGATAATATAGATCCCTTACCTGGGGAGGAACGCCCAGATCCCAGAATTACGGACGAAACCGATAAGTATAGTACGGGGGGTCCTTGGGGTCTCCCTGGGGCTGCAAGAACGATAAGTATATCGAAGGGCACGTCAGTTACTACACTGAATGTACCAACAGGTACGAACACTGCACAGTCGGGACAGCACGAGCAGGAAAAACCAAAAAAAAGAAACACAAAAAAAACATGTTTCGACAGAAATCAACGTCCAACGAGAATGAGGCAGGGCAGAGCGCTCGGCCGAGCAACGGGTCGGGCGCGGGGGAGCGTAAGCCGCCGCAGCAGGTAGAGCGATGGATCGGCCGCGCGATGTAGACAAGGCGACACACACACACTGTGCGTGTTGTGTGTTGTGTGTGTTGTGTGTGTTGTGTGTGTTGTGTGTGTTGTGTGTGTTGTGTGTGTTGTGTGTGTTGTGTGGGAGAGAGACAGAGTCTTTTCCCGGGTGCACCGTAACCACCCTGCCCCGCCGTCCGTCCCCATGCACGGAGGTCAACCGTGAAACGACGGCAACGAACCGTGTAGCCGACCGTGTGGTCAACCATGCAGCGACGGACAGCGGGCAAGCGCCGTCAACGGTGGCACCAATGTTGCCGATCGTGTGGCCGCTCGTGTGGTCAACCATGGGCGATCAACAACCACGGACAAAGATTCAGGCTCATCATGTGCATTCTTTGCTGTATGTCCATTCAGGGAAGGAGAAATCAGATAGTATACCAGCGCCAGAGCCAGAACCACCGGCAGCATCGAGAGAACAGAAACCAGGAGAACCTACAAGTGCAGGCAAATTACCATCACAAACACCATTACCGGAGCCACCATCATCAGCAGACGCTCCGGCAACGGAATCCGCAGGAACAGGAGCAGGGGAAAGTGGAAGTAAAGCTGATAAGGCGGATCATCCCACCGGCTGGGTCCATGTGGGTGGAAGTTCCCAGAAGGATAATACAAGTGATAGCTTCTGGGGTTCAGCAAAGGACGATATAGGATGGGACACTTATTTCCCATGGGATAAACCGGGCACGACAAAAACACAGAAACCTGTTGGCTCACTTCGTCCTGTTCTCTCTTCATACGATAAAAGTTCATTCGGGTGTAATGACGCCGATGGCCTTAGCGGGCACACATCATGCGATCTCAGGCTTCCCCCCGCTTCACCACCGGAAGGAATAAACGCAGGGGGAGGATTCGTACCACCCGCCCCCGAAGATGGGCCCCGTTCCCAGAATGACGATCCTGGTGGGGTCCACGGTGGCCCCTTCTTTCCCGACCTAACCGACACCGTCCTTACCGCCACTACTCCCATCCTCGTCTTCGTCACTTCGGTCATCTTCGCCCTCCTTAGTTATTCCCTTTGGAAAGTAAGTATATACGCGACACAGTATATGCATATCCGTCATATGCACCATTAGCAATGTGTTCCCAACGGGATGTTTTGTACGATCATTCTAACACAAATGCATTCACCCCATCCGCCCTTTTTTCCTTGTTGTTTTTGTAGTACTTTGCGTACCTCGGAAAACAACGACGACGAAAGTTTCGAACCGTTCGTGACGTGCCGTCACCGCCACTCGACGAAGAAATATTGCAACATCTACAACGAGGCGACCTGCCGCCACCCGATTACGGGTACACCATGGTTAGGGATAGGCGACCTGCGTCAACATCCGGTAGAGGACGCCCCCCGCGCGTGCATAAGCGCACGCTCATCGAGCTACATCTAGAAGTGCTCCACGAATGTGAAGCAGCCGAGTGGGCAAACGTCAAAGAGCACTATTGGCAGATTGTCGTGGAGGAGTTTGCACAGGAGTTTGCGCAGGATTTGATGCGGGACAAGGACACGAATAACAACATCTTGGGTGTGCCTACCTCAAAACAGGGTTTATCAGGGAACCATGTTTCCTTCACCATGGATCCACCCAGTGACTCCGACGGCATACATCCATGTCCACGTAACGACGATAACCCCGATCCATGGACTTGCATGGAAACTATACCGTTAGCAACGGACCCTTCTGCTTCTAACGAAGAGGACCGATGGAGTTGTATGGAAACCATACAGTTAGCAACGCACCCTTCTGCATCCAACCACGATGACCCCGATCCATGGAGTTGTATGGAAACCATACAGTTAGATACACAACGCGACCCGTACTCCTCCCCGCGGAATGAATGCCCGCTCCGCGACCACACTAATTGGATTAACTGGATTGAGCGTCACAAGCATCTATTGCGCGCGTGCACGATGCAGCCGTGGTTTTTGCAATTAAAAGCGGATTGGAAACAATACCTGCGTGAGCGCATGGCGGCAACCGGAGCATCCGGTGACCACAGGAAAGCCGCAACCATGGAAAGCACGAAACTGCGGTTGTGGAAAGAATGGGTAGCGCAACAACATCGGCAAATGCGTATGTATAAGGAGCAGTGGTGTAAACATTTGTTGCATAATGTAGAGGAGGAGACAGTACCGGAAAAAGGCGAAGAACATATACTGGAAAAAGACTTAGAA